AGGCACAGGCTCACCAAAGCTGGACAGCTGAGGCTGCAGCAGGCACAGGCTCACCAAAGCTGGACAGCTGGAGACTGGAAAAATGCAGCCCGGTCTGATGAATTTCGATTTCTGCTGAGGCACACAGATGGGAGGGTCAGAATTTGGTGTTAACAGCCTGAATCCATGGATTCAACCTGCCTTGTGTCAATAGTCGGGGCTGATGGCGTTGGGAATGTTTTCTTGGCACAATTTGGGCCCGTTAATGCTAATCGATCATCGCTTGAATGCTATAGCCTATCTGAGCATTATTGTTGACCATGTGCATCCCTAAATGGCCACAATTTACCCATCTTCTAATGGCTACTTCCCGCTTGATAATGCACAATGCCACAAAGCAAAAGTCGTCTCAAGCTGGTTTCATGAACATGAAAATGAGCTCGGTGTTCTTCAGTGGCTTTTCCGGTCACTAGTTCTGAATCCAGAAGAAGGCCTTTGGGATGTGGTTGAATGGGAGATTCGCAGCATAGATGTGCAGCTGACACATCTACATCAGCATGGACCAGAATGTCAAAAGAATGTTTTAAACATCTTGTGAAGCTCAGTGGGAGTATGTAAGATAATCATCATAATTACATTACAGAAGTGATGCTCCAATAAAGAATTGTTTAATGAGTCTGAATCTATCACATTTTTGTGTAATATATAGAGTATAATCTTCTTTAGTCCTGTAGAACCTTTAAACTGACTGAAATCAGACATTAATTTAAAATATCGGTGGGGAACCTTTTCCATGGAGGGCCAGTGTGGGTGCGGAGTTTTGGCATGACCTCTCAATCACTTCCATGAATCAGGTTCCTCACCCCTGATTTAAGATCACAGAACAATCTCTTTCAATGAGGTGAGAATAAGTATGTTTGCATGAAATGTTGGAAAATTGTAGCATTTTTGACAAGAATTGGTGTTTTACTGTGTTTGCTGACCATTTACTGTTAATACTTCAACTTCTTCAACCCCACCACCAGGGGGCAGTATAGTATCACCTGAATGATTTTGCATTGCCTTAGAGTGCCGAGTTTTGAAGAAAACAAGTATTTGTACTGCAAACTACAAATAATCAAGTAATAAATGAACAGTAATAGAACATTAAATGGAAATCTAAGGTCATTTAGTTATTTGTATAAACATGTGATGTAATCAGTCTGTTTTCCCATCCACACTGTGCCCATCTGTCTGGGTGTCACCCCAAGTTTTCTCTTTATTTTGTCTGCTGGTCAGGTGGCGATTAGGTCCTCTTGTGGGACATTGTTGGGACTTTAGACATCTCTGCAAATGTACAAGCAGGCAAGAGGCCACAAGTGACATGGACCATACATGAAACAGACAGTAGATTAAGGAGATTCACCACAGGTGTGATCTACCACAAGAGAGATGGAGATTAGC